CACACGGCGTTGTTGGCTTCGACCGTCACCGTGACGACGTGCTTTTCGAGCGCACTCTGCAGCGCGCTCTCACCCGAGATTGTCACGGACGCACCGAGCCGCAGTGGCGCCTTGCTGCAGCCGCTATCACACTGCCCACTTGCGCGCGAGTTGCCCGATGTATACGGGTACGACGTGCCCGAGCACGCGCCCGTGCTGGCCAAGTAGTCGAGCGCCTTGTTGGGCCACCCGCCTTGGCAACCGTAGCCGGCGCTCGAAGCACAGCTCACGAGCTGCTGCTCCGAGAACGTAGCGAGGGCCCCGGTGGCCTTGCAGTGCGCGAATTCGGCTGCCCCCACGGACGCAAACGCCCAGCAGCTGCCGCAGGCGCCTTGATCGCGCACGCCCGACATGCACGCATCGGTAGACCAGTCGACGCCGGTCGCGGCGCGCTGCAGCGGCGTGAGCTGCCCGTCAATCGAGAGTGCTCGAGCCGGTGTCGTCGCGTTGCCAAGCCCGGTGGCAAACCGTGCAAACTCGTCGTCGCTCAAAAGCGCAAACGGGTTCTTCTCGGTAAACGTCGCATGCGGGTTGGCCAAATTGAGCTGCGCAACCACCTTCTTGGTGGCAGCAAAGCGCTCGAGCTCCAAGGTCTTGCCTCCGAGCTCCCCCGACTCGGTCTTGGGCACGTAGCCGTGCTCGGCGGCGGCTTTCCCAGCAGCGCTGCGCTTCCACGCTTCGAGCTCGGTTTGCAACGCCTGCCGGTCGCTGGTGGACAGCTGGAGAGCGGATGTCCCGGCCGCACAGAGGCAAAAAGTCGCAATGTTGATCGACTTCATGAGGTAGTGTGCGCAATGGAATGCTATTTGGTAAGTGTTCTTGGCTTGGGCGATGCGAGGGCACGAAGCCGTGGCTGCCGACAGAGCCGGCGCCAGTAAACGTATCTTTCGTTTTTCACCATTTCACACGGCAGATGGTGTGGTATTTGTTGTAGGCTATCGCAGCTGGCTTCCGACCGTCATCTTGGCCGTCGTTGAAGCTCGATCTAAACTCATTCCCGATGCCCGGGATAGACCAACACAAGGTGGTACTCGGCGCATGTGTCCATGCGTGAGAAGAAGGACCTGCGACGTGTACGATGGGACTGCATTTTCTACAAAAACACGTTTCACACATGTGTGATTTTCAAGGTTCCGAGATCGACACCTGTGTTACGTCAACCCTTCTGCAGAAGCGGTGAAGCACTGAATGCAGCGTTCGAGCACTCAAACTTCCATCGACTAGGAGTTATAATGCGCATCCCTGCATGGCACCGCGTATAGAGTACACAGAACCGTCATGTACGCGCCATAGGTGTGAAGTCGATTCGCTGGCCGCTGACTCTTTCCGACGACGTCGCAAGGCGCTGTGGTGTGGACGCGAGTCGCGTTCGTTTGCGTTCACACGAGACGGACGGACATCCTTCTTATCAGTCCGTTCGAAAAGGCGCAGTAGCCCGGACAGTCTACTCGTCGACAATGACGATTGGAGCTGCCACGTCATTGACACATTGATACGTTGAAAGAAAAGCTGGGCTCTACGTTTGAGATCGCGATGGGCTGCGCCTTGCACATTCATGCGAATAGAGCGACTCGTGCAAACTCCAACAGCACTACGTGCGGGACATACAGCTGGAGTTCAGCTAATGCCATATCTGCTACATGGGCAGAGGAGAGTCTCGTCAACTCCTCCAGTACTGGCATTGCATGGACAAACGTCCTTCCATGCGAAGAATAAAACATGCACATATCGGTCAAGTCGTCCGAGTTCCAGTGCTTCTCGTCGGCAACATCGACGTCGTTAGCAAACGAAAAGCACCTGTCGAAGTTAAGATCCTAGTCGACGTCCAATACGGCACTCGTCTTCGCACCAGGGTACGCGGCTGCTTGGAGGTTCAAAAACACAGCTTTCTGTCGGATCGAGAGCGCCCGGTCGACGGCCTGTGCTGCTTGCGTCGGATCCAGTGTCAAGAGCTACGCGAGTATGTCGAGATGACGCCCCCGTACACATGGACCGAGAGGTACAGCCTTCGAGATGGCGGCTGCACAAGAACTGGACGACCTCGAGGTGCCCGGCCCAGCTAGTTGCATGCGCCGTACACCCTTCGCGTCTAAAGAAATCGAACGACGTCCAGCTGGGCCGCCCGGTCCAGCGCCGCCTTCCACTCGTAGAAGCGAAGCACGTCCAAGTGGCTTTCGTGCACTGCCGTGTCCAACGCAAGTCCTCGCGCTTGCGCGCATGCAGAGACTGCACGGCCGCGAGGTGCCCAAGTACGCCGCGCCGTCCATTGGTTTGATCGTGCAGCCTTCGTCTCGGTGCGAATGGAGGTAGCAACGACGACGACCAAAAGTTTGGCTACCTTGATCATGACGTCCGTCGAGCACGCGTTGCAGCCTGCGTGGTGAAGCAACTGGAGCGTCTTCAAGTGCCCGCAATATGGCAAGTGTTTCCGATATCCGGATGACGTGGCGACACCGTGTAGAATGTATCTAATTGTACAAATTATCCACTTTGAAGGTATGTCGTGCGTGTGGTAGCCCCATTTTATGATTCTACACATTGATTCTTATAGGTAATCAAACAAAACAGTATTTTGACTTGGCAACGGGCTGGCGCATCTGGACGCCTGGACTGCGCCGTCGTGTTTGCACGGCACACGCAGGCGACGCACACGCCAGGTTCTCTCTGTCCGTGGGGCGACTGTTGCAGTCTGGTCACACTCACTGGGTCACACAAGGAGGACAATATTCCGACGGACCGCATTGGATTCGTTGATGTCTGGTCATTTTGACCAATGAAACATCGGTCCGGCACAGGATTGATGAGAGAAAAGGTCAACTGGATCCCAACTCCAAGCAAGATGAAGCGTCGAAGCCGAGCCGATACTGTAGCTCGACGGAGCTGCTAGACAGTGTGTCACCGATGCTCGTGGGTGCTACGAACCTCGGTCCTCACACAACGTCAACTGCGTAGTATTAATAGCGTGAGGAGCTGCGTGGCGCCATGCGATGTGACAAGATTTCCCACGCCGTGAGGACCGCTCGTATCTGTCACCGCCTTGCCGTTCGTTGCAACCAATGCAGCGTTTAGCACCGAGCGACACACCGACCCACCTGTCCGTTGCGCTTCGCTTCAGTCCTGCCGGCTGTAGACACGCCTGAACCATCAGTCCTCGGCCGCGTCGCACACTGCAGCACGTCTCGTGTCTAGTAGTACGACTGGAAGCGCATCTGGCTGGCGGTAGATATATATATGCATAAGTCCGAAGCTGCGCTGCCATCCAGCGACCGACGCCCTCGGGCTGGCTCAGTCCGCCAATGCCACGGCCAAGTTCGCTTACGTCTGCGACATGTTCATCTGTCCTACCTCTTCTTTTATATTATGACATTGAATTGGTATGTAAACAAGAAAACATGAAATAAATGCAGGCAGAGCCATCTGGGATGCGAAGTTCGAAGGCAGCGACACGACCGGCAAGGTGGAACACACAGAAATGAATCCGCCGCCCGACGCCGCCTGCAGCACGGCCGAGGTCAACGACTGCGCCGAGCGCGTCAACACGTGGGCAGGCTTGCCGTGCGACGAGCAGGACGCCTTTACGTACGTCTCGCCAGTCAACTTTACCATGCTCTGCACCGACAGCGACTGCCTCGCCAAGGCCAAGGCCTACCCAGCACTCGAATCGCGCTGTCGCCGGTGTCTGCCCGACGACCCGCGCGTGCAGCGGCCGCTCTACACCAACTTTTGCAGCTCGAGTGCGGTCCAGACCAAGATTACGACCTTGTACAAGCACTGGGCCATCTGCGAAGCCATGAACGGAGGCCACGATCCCAAGTCCGAGGGCTGCAACTCGTGCACGTGGACGTCTGCGCTGCTCAACGACGCCAACATGACGACGTCGGCAGGCGGCGACTTGGACCAGTTTAGCAACTTTACCAGCCGCATTGC